TCATTTTTGACCAAATGTGTAGTTACTGCGCTTTGCCTTTGTAGGGCAGTATTGCTAGGGGTTCCTACAGGAAAACTGAACTCCCTGAGCTTCTTCCTGTATTCGCGAAGTTGACTGTGTGTATAAAATATCTTCTTATTAAACTGTATGGACACTGACAAAGTTCTCAATGCTTCGTTTTGAATGTAGGGACCCTTATTATGTTAGTGTGGGGCTATTTTGAGCCTTGTGGTAATAACAAGCGATTTTTATTTGTCATTACTCTATGCCCTATATACTAGCGTTATACTAGCGTTATAGGCTAAACTGTTTTTATAGATAAAACTATTTACATTCGGCAATCATGAAAACAAATCTCAGATAACGGTTGACTAGGTAATGTGTAATTTTGCGCCGGAGTTCTCCTTTAACTTACATTAGCTAGCTAACGTTAACTACGAACGAGCTAACCAGATAACATTAACAAATTGACGAGCACTTACTGGGCAGAATGGCTCTTCAAATGACGGACGAAATTGGAGGTTGTCGTCTGGCTGTCCGCGATCTTAACGTTGCATGTCTTGCAAAGCGCTATTCTTTTGCCATCTTGTTTTGAGAAATTCTTGAAGCCGAAAGCAACGACCCTCGGTATCCCTCCGGCTGACATGTTGATGTGATATCTGATGTAAGTGGGCGTGGTGTGCGTAAGGTATGAGAGGGCATGACTGATGATCTCGTGATCCAGTCATGACAGCGCTATTCTCAGCCTGCGCTCCAGCTGGATCAACTTTATTTTTTTTACATAATTTATATATTTTATATTCAAACTGAAAACATGATGTGATTAACACTCAAGTCATTCAAGTTATCGTGTCTCAAGTCAAGTCAAGTCCCGAGTCTTCAACTCCCAAGTCCGAGTCAAGTCTCAAGTATTTTATTTTTTGTCAAGTCAAGTCACAAGTCATAAAAATAGCGACTCGAGTCGACTCGAGTCCAAGTCACCAAGTCACAAGTCCCCATGTCTGCTCCTCACTATGGAAGCTTGTTTTCGCCACTGAATGAAAAATATAAAGGTAATTGCGACTTTTTATCTCACAATTCTGACTTTTTTTCTCACAATTGTGAGTTTACTTCTCGCAATTCTGACATTATTTCTCAGAATTGCGAGATGGAAAGTCAGAATTGTGAGATATAAAGTCAGAATTCCGTGATATAAAGTCGCAATTTCGAGATATAAAGTCAGAATTGCGTGATATAAAGTCGCAAGTGCGAGATATAAAGTCAGAATTGCGTGATATAAAGTCAGAATTGCGAGATATGAAGTCAGAATTGCGAGTTATAAAGTCAGAATTGCAAGATATAAAGTCAGAATTGCGAGATATGAAGTCAGAATTGCGAGTTATAAAGTCAGAATTGCTAGATATAAAGTCGCAATTGCGTGTTATAAAGTCAGAAATGCATGATATAAAGTCAGAATTGTGAGATTTAAACTATTCTTAGAATTGGCCTAATAAGTCGCAATTGCGAGTTTATATCTCACAATTCTGAGAAAAGATGTCAGAATTTCGACATATAAACTCGCAATTATGTGTTATAAAGTCAGAATTGCGAGATGTAAACTCGCAATTGTGAGAAAAAAAAGTCACACTTCTGTCTTTTTTTCTCAGAATTACGACTTTAGATCACACAATTCTGATTTTATATCACACAATTCTGACTTTATATCTCGCAATTCTGACTTTATATCTCGCAATTCTGACTTTATAAGACACAATTCTGACTTTATAACTCGCAATTGCGACTTTATATCACGCAATTCTGAGAAATAAAGTCAGAATTGTGAGATATAAACTCGCAATTGTGAGAAAAAAAGTCAGAATTGTGAGAAAAAAAGTCAGAATTGTGAGAAAAAAAGTCAGAATTGTGAGAAAAAAAGTCACAATTATTTATTATATTTTTTTATTCAGTGGCGGAAACAAGCTTCCATACCTCACAGGAGCATAGTTTGCGGGTTAAAAAAGGGTTGCCTTTTTATTTTCTCTCCTCACCTCTCCTCATGTTATGCTGTATTTCTTCCTCAATGCTCTGTCTTCCTGTCCTATCTACCCCCTTGTCTTATTGTATGTATGTCTGTATGGACAGGTTGATGGCTAATTTCGCTGGTACTTGTGACTAAGTGACAATAAAGACTAATACTACTACTACTACTACTATTCCTGTGGTTCACTGGTGGCATGTTATTGGAGTCTAAATTCAACATGAGTATTTATTTAATGAAATATCATAATTGTAAGTTTGTGGTGAAAAATATGTTTTTTTTAAGGACATTGTGAGATTAAGAAAAAGTCTGTCCTGTACGTTGTTTTACTGTAAAGTTAAGCCAGGAACACACCAAGCCGACGGTCAGCCGTCTGGCAGATTTTTTGCGTTGGCCAACTAAGTTTCCACGGTGTGATGCGCACAGTTCCTTGCCGTTGGCTGAAAATAGCCCTCGTTGGCTTTGTTTCGCGCGATTCGACATGTTGAATCGGCGTCAGGCCGTTGTGGAAAGAGAGAACTCTGATTGGCTGTTCTGTTCATCTTAGTGTAAGAGTCAGTGCACGAGAATAAACGCAAAACAGCAAGCAAAGAAGTCAAACATGAGTGGAGAGCAGGGTTCTCAAGTCTCACGCATTGGCCGTGAGACACACGCATATCGACCGGTTCACACGCTCACATGCCACACTGTGTATTTCTCACGCTGAAAAGGCAATGCCAACCAAGTTGTCCTGGCTGAAAGCTTTCTAACGTTGTATACGAGGCGCAGGCAAACAAAGTGAAGTTTCCTGCCGCCAGCGCGTATCTCCGCCAGATTGCGTTCGTTACTAGGCAACATATATGCGCGCTGCGTGCACCACTGATCTATACAATGACATGTCATTCAGTAGCGCGAACACACGGAAATGGACGGAACATCCTCGGCCTCCGTACGTTCGTTACTAGGTAACCAACAACATCGCGCGAACACATGTGTCGTGATGGAGAAGAAGGTAAGTTGGAAGAAGCTCGTCTAACATTTTTGGGCTAGAACATTTAATATGTAGCCCATCGTACATTATTATTGATGCGGTCAAAAACTCTACAACTACTTTGCAACCAGGCTCAGTTTGGCTATCTTACGTTATCTGAAACTAAGAGAAATGTTAGTGGGTATGGAAAGGAATGAAGATTTACTGATTTTATTTTAAATTATATTATACTGTAATATTAATAGTCTTTCTAGTTACATTAAGGATGTATTACAGCAGATTGCTCTGGGTAATATTTAATCATTGTCATAATGTTGCATTTGTATTTTTCAAAGATGTCAGGAAAAAAGCAGAAAGATATTTTGTCATTTTGGGCACCAAAGGGTAAGCCCCCTAAAAAGGTTGCCAGATTAGAGGAGGAGACAGTGGAATAGGTGGTGCACTCTAATCTGTCCATTTGTTCTCAATGTCCCACCACACAATAAATCATTCGTCTAGAAGACGCATTCAAAAATCTAAATGCAATTTTTAAAGATTTGTTTGAAACTGTTTGGAGCAATTTGTTATATTTTTGGTTAGCTATATTTGTAATACTGCATTAAAGAGTATTTGATGTGATGAATTGCTCTGTCATTTATCTGATTTACTAATTGTTATAATTTTAATTTGTTCTGGTTAATTATGAACAATGGGTAAAATTGGGGGCGGGGATGGGTGGGGCGGGGCTTCATTATGGCTCCTCCCCTAACTGCGTGTGATCTCACTCCAAGCTTTTGCTCAAACTTGAGAACCCTGGTGGAGAGGAATAAAGAAAGTGTTCAGCAGGATTGATATTCAAAAAGGTAAGCACGCGCTGCTTTGCTTACGTTATGTATCTGCAGCCAGCAGCGTCGGTTTTCCTTTTTGAATGATGAATATATAGACTAATATATCTGCAGAAATAGACAGTTGGCTCATTAAACGCAGAACGCATATTCTAGCTGACCGTCGGCTCCAGTTCTCTCAGTGTGTTCAAGTGCAGCTTTTTACCTCGACGAGAGGGGACGAGGCGACAACACAGTTGGCTTTCATCAGCGCTAGTTCGTTGGTGTCTGCGTTCTGGGCTTTACAGTACAGTTGTTGCAAACGTCAGTCACAGAAAATTTTACCTCAGGTCGTAAGTTAAAGGGTTAGTTCACCCAAAAATGAAAATTCTGTCAGTATTTACTCACTCTCATGTTGTTCCAAACCTCTATGTGTTTATTTGTTCTGCTGTGCACAAAGGAAGATATTTGGAAGAATGTTTTAATTAGGGATGCACCGATACCACTTTTTAAGGATCGAGTACGAGTACCGATATTTTTTTCCTGGTACTCGCCAATACCGATACCGATGCCTGATTTTCTAAGAACAACACAATGAGACTAATGAACATATAAGCATCTTTATTTTTTTAACAACAAACTTTAACCAATAAATTGAGAGTGGTTTATTGTCAAGAACAATGAATTGGGTAAGCATTTCTGTTATTTTTATTGCTCTTGGGTTATCTTTTGACATTTTCTCTTGCCTTGAAAAGGTTTGCTGCAAAGTTTGTTGCAGAGTGCTACTGCTAGTGGCAAATTCACCGTGCTCACTTTTGTGTTTAAATTTCAGATGTTTTATCAAGTTACTTGTTGTCACAGTCTTCGTCTGCACCGTCCTGTCTTGTCATCAGCACTACACTTCCCAGGATCCTCTTGTCTCCACTCCTGAACTCACTCCCTCATCAGCCACCTGTTCCTCGTCTTGTTCATCAGTATCACCTGTCTTCACATCGTTATGTTTGATTCCTCCCCTATTTAGTTCCCTCTGTTTCATTCAGTTATTGTCGGTCAATGTTTAATGTTACCTGGTGTTACCCTGTCTTCCTGCCTGAATTTGAATTTGTTTATTAGTAAATCTGTTTATTGGAACTTCTTGGACTCAGCTTGTTCTTCTGCCTGCACCCGCACCCCGTGACAGATTGACCGACCCAAAAGTGGAAGTTGCAGCATGGGGATTCTCCTCACCCCAGCTCAAACTCTATTTAACGTATTCCAAGATGGACACCCAATTGAGGAGTATGTCGCCAGTTTCCTGGAACTCTCTGCCGGGGTAAGCTGGTCAGATGATGTCTTAAAAACTGTCTTTTGGCTGGGTTTGGATAATCATCTGTACCAGCAAGCCCCAGCAGCTGCGGTTCCAGGAACCCTCTCCTGTTACCTGGATCATGTGTTGTGGTTGAGTGGGTCAGTCCTCACCGTTGGTGAGACTGAAGATACCAGCACCGCTCAACCACACACACCCACCATCTTCACCCCACCAGCCCTCACCGCCTTCCATCCGGAACCCTCCTCATCGCTGGTCCCGTCCAGCACCGTCCAGCCAGAGCCCGAGACCGTCCAGCCAGAGCCCGAGACCGTCCAACCAGAGCCAGAGCCCGAGACCGTCCAGCCAGAGCCAGAGCCCGAGACCGTCCAGCCAGAGCCAGAGCCCGAGACCGTCCAGCCAGAGCCAGAGCCCGAGACCGTCCAGCCAGAGCCAGAGCCCGAGCCCGTCCAGCCAGAGCCAGAGCCCGTCCAGCCAGAGGCCAAGACCGTCCAGCCAGAGCCAGAGGCCGAGACCGTCCAGCCAGAGCCAGAGCCCGAGACCGTCCAGCCAGAGCCGAGACCGTCCAGCCAGAGCCAGAGCCCGAGACCGTCCAGCCAGAGCCAGAGCCCAAGACCGTCCAGCCAGAGCCCGAGACCGTGATCCCACCCAGCCTCCCTCTCCCACCTCCTCCTATCCATCGTGTTTTCACCGTCTCTCCACCACTGCTTGGCAGCCCCACTGCTTCCCCGGAGTGCTTCGAGGAGGTAGAATCGTTGTGGGTCTGCCGGCCACCAACTCCATCTGGGTCAGGGGATCCCCGGTCTCCTCCTCGAACCTCCTCGACCTGGTCTCTGCCGCAGCCCTCTGGTCCATTACCTCCACCATGGCTCTTACCTCCCTCACCTCCGCCGTGGCCCTTCAGCCCACCAGCTCCTCCAGGCTTCCTTGTCCCCCCGGTTCCCCCTTGGTCCTTCATCGACCCGCCCTCACCCTGGGACTACCCTCCTCTTGCTTCGCCTCGTCGCTGCGTCCTTCTGGTTCAGTTGGGCTCTTCTCTCCCTCCGGGTCCACCTTGGTCCTCGGTCGCTCTGGCTGCGCCGCGGTCTTCAGGATCCTCGTCTCGGCCTCAGTCGCCGGAGCCGTTGGTGTCGCCATGTCCCGCCAGCCCTTCTACATCGCCCGGTCTCGCTGGCTCGATGGCTTCACCCGGGTCTCCTCGATCACCTGCTCCGCCACCATCAGTCGGCTCCCTGGAGTCGTCAGTCCTGCCCCCTCCATGGCTCCTCCCTCCGTCATCTCCGCCGTGGCCGCCGGAAGGGTCTTCACCGCCGTGGCCGCCCGAAGGGTCTTCACCGCCGTGGCCGCCCGAAGGGTCTTCACCGCCGTGGCCGCCCGAAGGGTCCGCTCCGCCCTGGCCACGCCCTCAGCCTGCTCCGCCCTGGCCACGCCCTCAGCCTGCTCCGCCCTTGCCACGCCTTTAGCCTGCTCCACCCTGGCCACGCCCCGCTCAGCCCCCAGTTCGTCCCCCCTCCTTCCTCTGTTCTGCGGCGTGAGGTCACGCCTCCCGGGAGGGGGGAGTTCTGTCACAGTCTTCGTCTGCACCGTCCTGTCTTGTCATCAGCACTACACTTCCCAGGATCCTCTTGTCTCCACTCCTGAACTCACTCCCTAATCAGCCACCTGTTCCTCGTCTTGTTCATCAGTATCACCTGTCTTCACATCGTTATGTTTGATTCCTCCCTGTATTTAGTTCCCTCTGTTTCATTCAGTTATTGTCGGTCAATGTTTAATGTTACCTGGTGTTACCCTGTCTTCCTGCCTGAATTTGAATTTGTTTATTAGTAAATCTGTTTATTGGAACTTCTTGGACTCAGCTTGTTCTTCTGCCTGCACCCGCACCCCGTGGCACTTGTATTACATGTACTGGCTTTTGTACCTCCTCTCGATTAGGGGTGTCCATGGTTAAAACCGGTTAACCGATTAACCGTTTAAAATTGTGGCGTCAATACATTTGCACAAAACTTTGCGTTTTTTTTCTGAATGTCGATAAAAAAAAATATTGTGAAATGACAGCGTTTCTATTAAAGATGTTATGCGACTAAAGCATTTTTTTACTTTCGCGATAAGTCATTCCAAAAATAATGGCAATGGTCTATATCACAACACTAGACATTAGCCTATTATTATTTATGTGAGGAGACGTCGTGTGTCATCCAAGCATTAATGGCAGGCAAAGACACAGAGTTTCTGTGTGTTTCTCCCTCATTTCTGCTCCGAGGTCTTGATTTTGGCATTTCTTTGAGGTTTTGTCTAGTAGGCTATTCCTTAATCTTTTATGATTTTTTTTAAAAAAAGAACTCTGCCTCGTATTATGTCCAAACGGTCAGTGTACTTGTTTTGTGTTCATTCGTCTCCCCTTATTTAATCCGTAGGCCTAATTGCAAAACGAAAAATGAATGGTTATTTTGTAAAACGCAAAGTTGAACACCAAAATGGTCATTTGAACTGTAGGACTACGTCAAATGCTGCGCAAAAATATATAGGCTATATATAGGCTATACATATCGACGAATTTTCAGATATTTGTTTGATTTTTTTGCCCATTTAAACATTTAAAATATTTGGCAAATGAATATGGAAAAAAAAAAGATTTTACTGGTTTTCTGAGGCCAAATTAGAACCTGGAAATGATATTTTCCCGCAGTAATGAATGAGTAGAGCCGTAACCAGCCTACAGAAAGGAGATTTATAGATGATTTATAAGATATAATAAATGTGTCTGATAATAAAATAATATAAAATAACGAGACATTAATTGTTTGTTAATAAACGAATCGGTTACCTAACGTAACCTCGGTTCTCTCTAGATGAGGGAACGAGTATTGCGTAAGCTAGCTTACGCTACGGGAAAGATTCATCTTTGCTGAGAAGTTGAAGCCAAAAAATTATTCCATAATTTTGTAATCATTGTCAACGCAGTCTCCTCTGAGGCAGACCATGAGCGGGCTAGCTAGCGGCTCATTGGTTCGCTCAGAGAGAATGCACGAACCTATGGGAGAGCGGCGCTGAGTCCGCGGCCAATGAGCGGACGGCGCTCGCTCACTGCGTCACAGCCCGCCAAAAGGGGCGTGGCTACAGTGTATAAAGGTCGCTCTCCCAGCTCGTTCGTTGATTCTGTAGCATGAAGCGAAACGCTAGTGGCGCAAGCACGGCCGGGAACGCAATACTCGTTCCCTCATCTAGAGAGAACCGAGGTTACGTTAGGTAACCGATTCGTTCTCTTACGAGAGGTTCTCTCGTATTGCGTAAGCTAGCTTACGCTACGGGAACACCTGGTCAACGCCGTGCGCGCTAAGTAACCACTAAGCATCCCAGGGGAAACACCGGGGGAATCTAAAGTGGATGAAGATAATACGGCGGCCAGCATAGCGGCCGTTATCATCTAGTGCAAAACGCCCAAGGCGGCCGGCGAAGGCGGGCCGTGATGTGTAGGCTAATGCATAAGCACATAGGGGAACACAAGGGGTGAGCCGGTTGTGATGGAACTCCCGATAGTGCGGCTTCTATAGGAGGCTGTGAGTACTAGACCGCCAGAATTTTAGCCTGTAAGGCTGGAACTTCCAAGTTATAAAACCTGACAAAAGTGGAGGGGGAGGCCCATCCCGCAGCCACACAATGTCATGGATGGAAATCCCGCAGGACCATGCCCACGACGAGGCCATGCCTCTGGTGGAATGAGCCCTGATGCCCAGAGGGCGAGGCAGGTCTTTAGCGGCATAAGCAGAGGCAATCGCGTCTACTATCCACCTGGCTAGGGTCTGTTTCGAGGCGGCTAGTCCCTTGGTGCGGCCACCGAACGACACAACAGCTGCTCCGAGCGTCTGAACGCGGCAACGCGTGTAGTGTGCACTCTGATAGCCCGAACCGGGCAGAGGCGGTCAGCGTCTCGTTCGCTATCGGATGCAGGCAGCGCCGATAGAGAGATCACTTGCGCCCTGAAAGGGGTACCAATCGCTTTTGGAACATAACCGTGTCTAGGCTTTAGAATGACTATGGAGTCACTCGGTCCAAACTCTAGGCACGCGGCGCTCGAAGACAGCGCGTGAATGTCCCCCACACGTTTTACTGAAGCGAGAGCCGTCAGAAGAACGGTTTTTAACGAGAGGTATTTTAGTTCCACGGACTCAAGTGGTTCAAACGGTGGGGCTTTCAGAGCTTCTAGAACTATAGAAAGATCCCAGACCGGCACCGTAGGGGGCGAGGGGGGTTCATCCTTCTGGCTCCCCTGAGGAAGCGGATGATTAGCTCGTCTTTGCCCAGAGACTGGGCGCGCCGGGGTTCAACGAACGCCGCGACGGCTGCCACGTAAACCTTAAGAGTGGATGGGGACCTGCCTTTATCCAGCATCTCCTGAAGGAACACTAGCAAAGACGAAACCTCGCACGTCCGTGGGTCCAAATTCTTGTCGGTGCACCATTTGGAGAACACAGACCATTTTGCAGCATAGAGCTTTCTGGTAGAATCCGCTCTGGCGTGTTTGATCGTGTTCAAAACCCCTTCTGGCAATTCGACGCGTAGTCGTTGGTCACCCATGCATGAAGCGCCCAGCGCTGTGGATGGGGATGCCAGATCGAGCCGCGGGCTTGAGTGAGGAGATCTGCTCTGATTGGAATGGGCCACGGGGCTGTCTGTGACAGCCGCGTTAGCTCCGGGAACCAATCTGATTCTCCCAGCGCGGGGCTATGAGGAGCACCGAGTGGCGTGAGTCCCTGATTCTCTGAATGACCTGCGGTAGCAGAGAAATCGGGGGAAAAGCATAGAGCGGGCGGCGGGGCCAATCCTGGGCTAGCGCGTCCTCGCTCTTTGAAAAGAATATTGGGCAGTGAGCGTTCTCTTCTGAAGCGAAAAGATCTATCTCCGCTCTGCCGAATAGGCGCCACAGTGTTTGGACTGTTTGAGTGTGCAGGGACCATTCTCCGGGGGAGACCAGGTTCCTGGACAGGCTGTCTGGCCCGTCGCTCAGATGGCCCGGCACGTGCGTCGCTCTGAGCGAGAGCAGGTGACTCTGGGACCACAATAGGATGCGGCGTGTCAGATGAAAGAGATTCTTGGATCTGACGCCGCCCTGACGGTTGATGTATGATACCACGGCCATATTGTCGGAGCGAATCAGGACGTGGTGACCGTTTATGCGCGGGAGGAAGCATAGCAGCGCGTTCTCGACCGCGATCATATACAGACAGTTTATGTGTAGGGAACTCTCGTGGCTCGACCACTGGCCGGCGGCCGGTGAGCCCTCGCAAACCGCTCCCCAACCCGAGTTGGATGCGTCTGTCGAGATAACTTTCCGGCGAGAGAAGGTTCCCATGGTAACGCCCCTCTGAAACCACTCGCTTACTGCCCATGGCTGCAGTGCAGTGATACGTGTCTGAGTAATCCTGATCATCTGGCGGCCCGTCGTCCACTCGTGGTGGGATACGCGGCTCTATAACCAGAGTTGAAGGGGGCGCATGTGCAGAAGACCCAGCTGTAGCACAGCGGAGGCTGAAGCCATATGACCCAGCATCCTCTGAAGCGATTTCAGGGATGTATGGGTACCCATCTGAACGAGGCGGCTAGGCGCTGAACACGGCGCGCGCGCTGTGTGGATAAGCGAGCCGTCATAGTGATAGAGTTCAAATCTATTCCAAGGAACGAAATAGTTTGACTGGGCTGGAGAGAGCTCTTTGTCCAGTTGACAGAGAGTCCCAGCGCTTCCAGATGGTTGAGGAGAACTGTGCGGTGCGACAGCAGCTCCGTCTGGGAATCTGCTAGCATCAGCCAGTCGTCCCGATAATTCAGTATGCGCAGCCCCTGACTTCGCAGGGGGGCGAGCGCTGTATCCATGCACTTCGTGAACGTACGGGGTGCTAAGGATAGCCGAACGGGAGAACGGCATACTGGTAAACTTGGCCCTCGAAGGCGAAACGTAGGAATGGCCTGTGATGAGGGTTTATCTGGATCTGAAAATAGGTGTCTTTCAGGTCTAGAGAGGTGAACCAGTCCCCCTGGCGGACGTGCGCGAGGAGTTTCCTGACTGTGAGCATTTTGAACGGTCTCTTCATGAGCGCTTTGTTCAAAGCCCTGAGATCTAAGATCGGCCTGAGGCCGCCGTCTTTCTTGGGAACCAGAAAATAACGGCCGTAAAACCCCGACTCGGTCATAGATGGTGGGACTCTCTCTATAGCGCCCTTCTGCAGTAGCTTGGCTATTTCTAAGCGAAGCGTGTTCATAGCGGGCGGCTGACAGTGGATTCGAGCCGCACGCGCGAGCGTGGCG